AGGAGCAGGTGCGGGAAAACCTGGAGAAGAGCCACTAGGAGCAGGCAAACTTGGAGCCCGTGTGACAGGGCCACCCGCAATAAGTGAACGTGAACCACGGGGACCTGGGCAAGTGGGACCTGGCCAAGCAGGACCTAAAGACGAGAGAGCTGAAGAAGGAGGAGCAAGTGCAGGAAAACCTGGAGAACAGCTACTAGAAGGAGGAAGACCTGGAGCCCGTGTGGCAGGACCACCTTCAATGAGAGAACCTGGTACCGAAGCACGTGTAACAGGACCGCCTGCAGTAAGTGGACGTGGACTACGTGAACATGAAGAAGGAGGACCCGGACAAGCGGGACCTGGTGCAGGAAGACCTGGAGAAGAAAGACCTGGTGCAGGAAAACCTGGGGAAGAGTTACCAGAAGCAGTCAGACCTGGAGCCCGTGCGGCAGGACCAGCTGCTATGAGAGAACCTGGTACAGAAGCACGTGTAACAGAACCTACTGCATTAAGTGGACGTGGGCTACGGGAACAAGGAGGACCTGGACAAGCGGGACCGGGTGCAGGAAGACCTGGAGAACGGGGAGCTGGTTCAGCAAGACCTGGAGAAGAAGAACCTGGTGCAGGAAAACCTGGGGAAGAGTTACTAGCAGCAGCCAGACCTGGAGGGCGGGTAACAGGATCACCTGCAACGAGGGAACCTGGTACAGAGGCACGTGTAACAGGACCACCTGGAGAAGCGGGACCTGGTGCAGGAAGACCTGGAGAACGGGGACCTAGCTCAGCAAGACGTGGAGAAGAAGGACCAGGTGCAGGAAAGCCTGAGGAAGCGTTACTAGGAGCAATCAGACCTGGAGGCGCACCTGCAACAGGGGCGCCTGATACTAGTGGAGCAACTAGAGGCGCAGTTGTTGTTGGTGCCCCTACAGTAGCAGACCCACAAAAACAGCAACCTCGCACAGGTGGACCAGGAGCAGGAGGCCCTGGGCAGTGGGGTCCTGGTGCAGGAGCAGAACGGCCTGGCACAGACCAACCGCAGACAGTAGGACCTGGAGCGGCGGGTCCTGGAACGCGGGGACCAAGTGCAGGAGGTCCGGGAGTAGAACAGCCAAGAACAGGAGGCCCTACACCATGGAGCCCTGGTGCAGGGGAAGGAACTGGGGGCACAGGAGCACGGGGACCTGGCACAGGACGACCAGAGTTAGATGGTGCCGGAGCGTGGGGAGCTGGCGCAGGGGGTCCAGGATTAGAAGGTGCTAGAACGTGGGGAGTTGGCGCAGGCGAACCGGGGGCTTTGGGTCCTCAAGAAGCTGGATTCCGGGCAGTATCGCCTGGATCAGGGCGACCTGAAACACGTCCAGGTGTACCTGGGTCAGCAAGAATGCCAACGTCACCACTTGCACTAGCAATCCATGAATCGGCAGAATCGGGAGAAAAGACAGGACGTAGAGGGTTAGCACCATCAGCATTAGTGTCGGGAAAAAAAGTTATTAAACCCAAGCCAGGAGATGAAGCTCACCTTGACGCATTTGTGGAAAAAACGGTTGGAAAAATGCGCGGCGTAGGAAGCTATTTTGAGAGGGACTTACGTAAGATTTTAGACGAGTTCATACAAGAGTGCGGCTTCTGTTTTTGTCGTTTAGTCAATCCGAGAAGCAATTTATATAGTATTGCCCACAAACTATACCATTATGGAATTGCTACGTTATCATTTCGTGAGTTGGCCTATGTGCACAAAAAGCTATATGCTCGGGCCGATCAAATTTTACCGGGTTGCTTGCTAGATATGATTGTAAACGAACATACACCCGAAGTAAAGTCTATATTGGGCTGCATATGTGATCGTTTAAAGAGCGATCATATCAGTAAAAATAAAGGAGAAGAGCAACAAAAATGCTGTTGCTGCAAAAGCGAGTTGTGTTGTAACAACTCTGAGGACGATTTTAAGGAGAAGGGTAAATATTTAAATTATTATTTAATCAATTTTTAATGTATATATTTTTTATAGTTATTAAATTAGAACGTGATATTGAGGATGCTAAAGGATATTTAGAAGGGCTTAGAGCTATGCCTTATAAATCATGTTTAGCCCGACGCGATTCTTTTGGTGAAACGTCGAATAGGTATCTCGTTCATACTCGAAAAAGTTAAGAATTTTCATTTCTTAGCAGCACCTTTCGATCCAGTTCGTCCCATCGGAGCCGTTCCACAAAACAGTTTATAAAATTAAAGGTACTACGTAAAAAAATAATTCTTTTTACCCTGATTATAATCAATCAATATTTGCCTTTGCAGTCCCGCTTTGTAACACGCGACGATTATTAAATATGAGTCTACCATCTACTTTTGTAATGCTGGCTCATATTGGTAATAACTTTCACTACATTTCAACTTGCTCACATTTTTCAATTTAATTGAAAGTTATGACCAAACTGGAATTTAGTGAAGTTGTTGTTATTGCTAACTTTGAGACAACACGACAATTGAAAAGTTATTTTACTACGATTTGTATTTGTAAAGAAATCCTCAATTGTATATCCTATGTTAATTTAAAATATTTGTTACTCGAAACATAATTTTTTTAAAATTTTTTTAGATAGTTCAGCAAAACTATTATGTATGTAATCGAATAAGTAAGTGCTATACGTGTGAAGTAAATGTATATGAAATTTGAAAATAAAAAATTTATTGATTGTTGATAATCGTAATTAATTTGGTGACGTCTTTTTTTTATATTCAATTCACCTAATTGGAAGTTAACTAACGCTTTTGCATTTAGCAGTTGTAGCCAAATAACTGACTACAACAGCGAAAACTGAATTTGTAATACGTGATTACCAACATCAGTTAACTTTTAAATTTTTTCGTGTGGACTACTCGTGTAGATGTCGGTTCAAGTATTTTTTGCGTTTGGTAACTCTGGAGTATAATTTCACGTCATTCAACTTCCCTGGACTCTAATTTGTATATCATTATCTATTGCCTTCACGACATTTCTCACTCACGCAATTTGGTGGCTTACACCGCAATCGTCCCGTTGTAAATGTTCATAACCAAACTATGAATCTATAAATTATTCGCTCATTTAGGTAATAACAAGTTAAAAAGTACACTTTATTTTAGTGATAGCAAATTCAAATTCCCAGCTGTTAATATTTTTTTTGGATTATTTTGCTACTATGGAATCATTTTTATGCTGAAACATTAAAAATTAAACTTTTCCTGAAGATTGATGTTCACGAAATACACTTATGTGGTTCCAATTAGGTCCATTTCATTTTTGTATTTAATTACTGCAATAAATCACAATAAAGTTAACAATTAGGCTTTTTTGGCATATAGGAGTTTACGTTTCATGATGTGGTAAGGTAAGATTTTTTTGTCATTTTACTATTATGAGCTGACTTTTGACCATGTAATGTTAGAAATTCGACCTTCTTACCATATAAAATTTCCGTTTTTGTGGAAACGGTTATATGAGAGAAGATTCAAACAATCCGATCCAAGTTTTTCATACCAATTTAGAATATCTAAATACAATTACAGAGTAAGTTTTGTCGACAAATAACGAAAATCGCCAAAATAGGATGTGCTATGGGGAATGGTCCAAAAAATGTACAAAAAATGTAAACCAATGTACCGTACTTTAACAAAATGTCCCAAAAATTACGACCTGTAGCTTGAACACAAATTACATGAACAGATATCTGTTGGACAGGCAGACAGACAAGCTTAGATAGATAGAATAATTTTCTGAATCGTTCGGTATAAGAAAAGAGGGCATATATGAGGCCATTCTGAATGTTACATATGTCCGCACTAACTTAATATACCACATATCGCAAGTCGTGTATGGTATAATCAATTTATAGTAGCGTTTCAGCAAATAAGTCGATTTTTCTGGACCCCCATTTGTATAGGCACTATCGCGAAACGCAAACTCTTATATGGAGGGAAAATCTAACCTTACAATATGACAATTATCGCTTTATGTGACAGTAGTGTGTACGTTTTGATGTATTATTACCAAAAGGAGCGAATAACTATATTAGACAATGTAGCGCAGGGTATGTAATAGCGTCGTTGAACGGCTATAATGTTTTTATTCGTTTTTATTTGTCTTCCATCCATCACTACGATGTCTACGATCACTACGGGTGTTTTTTGCTGTATAGACATCCGTCAATAATTACAAACTCGTTTCGAAATCTTCAAATAAATATTGATTACTACTCAATATTGAAATTTGTCAATTTATCTTGCTAGCATTTTCTTTAAACGTACACTTGAATCATATTTCAAATTTATCTAGAGGAGAAAAAAGGGAACAATTTTGTTTTTTAAACTAACAAGATATATATATTTTCGAAAACTGTTTTTTTGATATTTCCTTTAAAAAGCCAATTGGGGTGTATTGCAATAAAAATTTATTGTTCTTAGATAAGAGAAGAAAAGGGACATCACTTTATTTTCAACTAGAACACAAACTTAGCCGCTTATTGTCCCGGCGGGCGATAGGACGGAGATAAAAAAATCGAAGTGAAACTGGTTTGAAAGAACCGTTATAACAATGGCATTTTCCACTCAAAAGGATTTCTTTTATGTTCCATACATGGATGAGGAAGTACCAGATGAGCATAAATCACCTCCTGTACAGCCTTGTGCGAAATTGAGAAGTTACGATATGGGCATTGATGAACGTTCTTGGGCCTTGGACAAAAAGACACAAGCCAAATTTCTTGCAGATTTAGTGACTGGAGACGTTATGGTGAGATTACCAGGAATTATATTCTAAATTCGAAAAATGTCATATAATATTATCATTATCTGAAGCCTGCCCGGAAACCTATGACGGCGGAATGTGACATCAAAGTTAAAGGAAAGTCTATGGAAACTGGCATTGCCAATGAGGTAGACGTTTGATGCTATCCTTTTTCTCCATCTATTTTTTTCATTTACTTCACAGAGTTTACTTGTTCAATTGGGCTCAATTGCCGCAGGCGACAGTTTACTTGCATGCGCCAATACTCAATTAACAGACTATCAGAAATTGCTTAATGCGAATACAACTCTAGAAAAGGAATTGCATATATCTAATGAACGTCTGCAGTCGGCTACCGAGGAGAATAACAAAATCAAAGAGATTTTAACCTCCAAATTGGATGCGAGCACCGCTAAAGATTTCGATAACAAAGTGAAACAATTGTTAAATGCTCGAAAATTGAGTAAAAGCGATGAAAGAGAAATGCTACAAATACATAAAAAGATTGAAAATATGATTAAAGCTAACGAAATTTTACAGGCAGAAAATAATTATATTAAACGTTTAATAGAGAAATTGAGTAATCGTGTTACATTAGAAAATATTACAACGGAACCTGAACAGAGTAAAGATGTAAACTATTTACAACAAGAAGTTGATAAATTGCGTAAAGAGTGCAGTCTGCTTAGGGATATCGAAGATGATTATCATAAATTGAAACAAGAAACTCAACAAAATCGTTGCCCAAGCAAAGGTATATCCGATCAAGATGCCGAAAACATAATGGCTATAATGCGTGAACGTAATAATCTCCGTGAGAAGATGAAGCTTGTTAATCAGCAAGTTGGTGAAATGAGGAAGAAAGAAAAAAGTTTAAATAAAGATTTAGAAAACCAAGTGAAATATACTACCAGCATGGAGGCAGAGATGGAAAAATTACAAAAATATTATGAGGATCAAATGCAAGAGGCTTGTTATCGAGAAGAATTTTTAGTGGTAATAATTCAATTGAATAGAATTATGGATGATTTTTAAACGCTTCGGGAGAATTTATAGATAATTGAAAAAGATTCATATCAAAATTAAACTTTGATTGGCTGGTATACTATTCTATTTAGATTATGGGAAGGATCTTGGCCAAATGTTTGAGGTTATTCTATCCGTTTGCGGGCAACCAATATCTTACGAGCTTTTTGAAAAGATAATTCAGTACGATATTGAATTTAATATTGATACGATCTTTATATACATATGTATATTAATATTAATTTATATATTATTTAATATTTATTTCTATATATATTAGTGTTGTTGACCGAATAGACTAAAGAAATTATATAGGGCGTTTAATATATTCTGCTGAATCTTCTTACATGTTAGCTCCGGAGTGTTAACCTATTGAACGGTAGTCACTTATTCGTCATTGATAATTGTTACTAAGGAAAAACAAAGCATTGTGTTTCAGTAAGTTTTCTAATTTTTACAAGCTTTAGGGTCAAGAGTAAAGAGGATCGACATCCCATTTAAATTGTACTTTTAAGACAATTTAGGAAATCGAAAAACAAACAAAATTAAGACAAGTAATTGAAAGTCGATTATTTCAGATTTGTCTCAGTCCTGTTAGCGGATAAGTTTAAGAAATAGTGAAATATATTAATAATTTTCTTTTTGACTCTTCCGTCTTCTTTGGTCTTCTTTTGATTCTTCTTTAGAATCAATTGGAATCTTTAAAGGAAGACTTTGTGCCAATAAAATGCCAGGCCCAACGAGCAGAACTGTTAGAGCGTGAACTGGACATGGTAAATAAGGAAATGCTAAAACGTGATATGGCTATATGCGACTACGACTGTCAGTACAAACAACTAATGGTGAGTATCGCAATTTACTCAAAGTGAAAGAACCCAAATTATTCATGGTCATGCTTATAATGGAGAGGGTTTATCAAGTAAAATTGATGCCTTTATGGGACGGCAATTCTTTCGTAACCGCACTTATGGGTATATCCTGGCATTGTGATCGGTTACTAATCATAAAAGTATAGATCAAACGAAAAGTATCCCTAGGGAAAATCGAAAATTATCTGTTAGTCCAAAAGAAAAGTAAATATGAGTCAAAATAAAAGTACCTCTAGGTCAAATGGAAAGTTTCTCTACGTTAAACGAAACTTATCTCTAGGCCAAAAGGAAAGTATCTCATAAGTCAAGTGAAAAGTACCACTATTTGCAACGGAAAATAGACCTAAGTTAAAAAAAAGGTACGTCTAGGTCAAATGAAGGTTACCTCTAGATCAAACGAAAAGTACGTCTATGCCAAAGGGAAAGTATCTTATAAATCAAACGAAAAAAAAAATCGAAGGTCATGATAAATTGTTTTTTTCTTGACCATCGCATTTTTATTTCGCAGTCGACACAAAACTGAGGCCAAGTTGGAAAAGCGAAAAGGAGGAACAATTTCATGTGCTAATTAAACTGCATTCGGTTGACGTTGTTCATTCGTCCGCCTGTCGTCTTAATTTCCGTAGCAATGATCGTCCTTTCAGTAAACTCTTCTCTATATATCTATTAATTTAGAAAACATATCGGCTAATAATATCGTAGAAGAGTATTGACCTTCACATTTGTTTCATTGATTTAGATACTTATATAACTTAAGGATTGTAAGCATGGTCCGACTACCTTTTATTTCTTACAGGGAGTTGTTGTAGAACTGGAAGCCAGTCAAAATGTTAGTTTATGCGCTCGTAATGCTGAAGATTTGGCTTTCTACACTCATGCTACTATTAGTGAAATTGCCAAAGAACTAGAAACAAGCAGGAAACAGTACCCCAGCGAGCTCGATGATGGTTGCGCTGCGGAATTAGAACTTTTACGAAAGCAATTAAAGGAAGCAAACGATCGCTCTAGGGGAATGGAAAGGGATCTTACCAAGGATATGAATTGTGAAGAGTTATGTGCCGATGCTTTAAAGCGTTTAAAGGAATTGGAAGAACTCAATAGAAGGCTTCAGCAAGAACTGGCTGATGCCAAAGGCGAAAATGATCGCCTAAATAGAAGCCTTAAAGATTGTAATGAGAAAATGTCGGACATGTTAAAACGATTGAACGCCATGGAAGATGAAATGAAGAAACATGCAAAAGATTCTAAAGATATTGGTAAAGGCTTAGATAATACCATGAAATTGGTTAAAGACATAAGCGATATACAGTTGAAAAATAATCAATTAGCAACGGCGGTCAATGCTATCAATTCGCGAGACGATCAAAAAATTATTGATGACCTGAGAAAGCAATTAGAAGATGCTTTAGCTAAATTAAAAAAATGTCAACAAGACAACGAGAAATTGGAAAAAGATCTTCTAGATCGCGACAATGAAATTAAGAAACTTAAGGATCTTGTTAATCAATTGGAAGCGGATAAAGCTAAAATGAAAGCTGAATTGGATGACCTAAAAGCTGAAAACGCTAAATTAACGGACCTAAACAATAAATTGACAGCCGAAAATGCTAATTTAAAGGCAGAGAATGCCAAATTGATCGCGGAGAACGCTAACATGAAAGCTGAGAATGCTAAATTGTTAGCGGAAAATGCCAACTTAAAGGCGGAGAACTCGAAATTGCAAGCAGAGAACGCGAAATTGACTAGTGAAAACGCTAGGCTGGCAGGCGAAAATGCGAAATTGGCAAGCGAAAATGCGAAACTGCAAGCGGAGAATGCGAAATTGACTAGCGAAAATGCCAAATTACAAAGTGAGAAAGAAAAACTGGAGAAAAGTTTGAAGGAATTAGGAGCACAAAAGCCACCGCCCACGCCCGCACCTGCACCCGCACC